CGAGGCACACCTGAGTGGAAAAGCCATCTCACTGAAGGTAAGCAGCTACAGGAGAGAGAAGCTGTCACCTCTGCCTCCAGCCAGCCCGCAGCAGCCTCCGGTGCTCACCAGCTCCGGCTTCCTTTCCCGCGCCACTTTTGGATGTCAAGCAATCTGCAAAGCTGCACTGTAGTTGTGAAAGACAGTTTTCTCTATTTCCATATGGTGTGAAGTCTTCATAAGGCTCGGCTTATTTTCCCTAAACATGTCAGGGTTTTCTCGTTACTCCCCACGTGCAATGATCCCACTCCCTCCATGCATCAGAGCAAAGCTCTAACTGTGTCCATTATACTTCCCTTCCAAAAATATTATTTCACTTGTAGCCTGGCTCTCCAAATTGCACGACCTTCTGGAATTTGCCACCTTTATGTGGAGGCCATTTCTTCCAAAATACAACGTCTATAAAAGCAAGGACTGCTTGGGGGGGACGCAGGAAGGGATCACATGTGCAGACAGAAGGGCTGCTACCATCCCATCTTCTCCTTTTCCACTAGATCAGATGATTAAAACTGGGCTGCTGGAATAAAGCCAAGTTCTGGAAAATACCAAAACTTCAGATTTCAATAGGAAAAAGTTATCTACTTGAACAGAAAAACAAGACAGACATGCCAGCATTTTTCAAGCCAAATTTCATTTACTTAAGAAGACCTTAAGATGTTTCTTACACTAGTGCTTTGTTTGTGGGGTGGGACAGAGATATTCCCCCTCCTCTTAATTCACATTGAGTCAGAACAGTTCCTCTGTTCACACCAACGCCAAAGTAATAATAGAAAAACACAAAACATGATTCCTGTTGTACTAGCTAAGGGTTTAAACATTTAAAATTAGTAAGCTCTTTAAAATCTTCAAAGTGTCGTTGGCTGTAACTTAGCAATGCTGGTTGTATGTACGCCTAGCCAAAATACAGAATTTTCCCCACTTTGGATACAAGGGCTGCTTCAGAAACGCATAAAAAATATTTTTTTTTTTTTACTTTTAACAGCTGATGCCCAGTTACTGAATTCCTGTCGACAAAACTATTCAACATCTCTAAGTGGAAGAACGCAAAGGTACTTGAACGTGAACGTCTCGCCAAAAGAGGGATCCAATGCAATGTTTGTTCTGCATATGTAACTGTACCCAGATGCTGGTCTGCTATATCCAAAAATATCCTTACAATCTAGGAATTGTTAGCAAAAGGATTTAGAAACAGGCATAAGGCAGGATAAAGCACTGAAATTGCTGCTCAAGCACACAAACAGATGCACAAATAAATGCTTTGTACTTGTTAATCTTCATGGTGGATGTCAGGCTGTAACGAAAAAAGCCAAATTAATTGATTCCAGATAGTCCTAGATATGCAAAACATAGTAAGATACAAAAATTCCTCCTGCTTCACAGAAATAGTTTACAAAGCAATTGCAGGATTTAATACTATGATTAACGAAGACCCTGATCACCTCCAAGGAAACCAGTGCCACGGAGAAAGACAAAAAACAGCCATTTTGTTTGACATCAGACTAAGTTTAGAGTGCTTGCATTTTTAATTTTTGGTTTGTTTCATTAGATTTTGAGGTTGTTCTGATGCTGAAAATTCTAACCAAACTGCAGGAGCCCTGAATTTTTGGAAAGGAAGTAAATTGCAGGACGCATAGTCATCTTGTAATAGCTACTGAAAAGTTTGCTTTCTGAATCAAGAACTCCAGTGGCAGGGAAGACACTGAAGATGTCCAAGAACCAAACCTGGTGCAGCAGTAAGCAAGTTCACTCTAGTCATTACATCTAATCTTAATCAACAGAAATGCTGGTAGGTTTAGGTCCCCAGGCCTTTTCTTACCCAAAGTGAGACTTTATTCTCAAGTTTCATCCTCAGGTGGAGATGAAGTTTGTAAAAGCGATGGACTCATGACACCTTCATTACAATCCGGTAAACTCAGGCTACACAATACTTTCAGCTAAGAATCTCAACTACATCGCTCAGTCTAAACTATTTCTGCCTATTGAAGACTTCGCTTTGGAGACAAGAGACTAACGAAATTTTTAATCTTGTCAGTCATAAGCCAATCATCAAATGTAGCTAATTTATTCTGAGCTCCCAGACAATGTCAAGAATTTGCTGTTTCCTTCATTTATTTAGTCTGAAGATTCAATGTTTGAGTAAACACAAAAGATGATAACTCCTGCTCCCCACTCCTGCTCCTCCCCACCCCAGAGACAAGCCCAGCAGTAGCACATCTCCTTAGACCCTTCACAAAAATTTGCGTGCTGTGCATTCCCTGCCCATGGCATTAAGGGATGAAGAGCGAAGCAGTAGGAAGCATTTCCTTGATCCGATGTCCGTGCAAGAGCAAGCCCTCCCTTGCACACTTGGAGCAGCATGTGCACAACATGGGCAGTTTACTAGGCAGCCTGAGCAGCTGATTTTTAAAAAACACCTGAATTCCTCCAAAAAGAGCTCTGCATCTTCATTTAGGACTATTTCTATACCAAATTTCACAGTTCAAACCCTAGTGCTCCACTTATACAGGACAGAAGTTTTTTATTTCTTTTAATATCTCCCTTGCTTTTTTCATGAGCCATAAAGGAGCTGAACAGCCCAAAGTTTGAAGTCCAAATATGAGGTTATAAATTTTAGTTCTCTGGACAAAATAATAGCTTCCCTGCACCTACCGTCACTGCACTTCACACAGTTGCCAGTTTCTGAAAGGTGGTTTAATCTAAGAGTCATCTATATCGGGCTGACTTATGAACACAAACGTAAGAAATGTTTTCCCAAAAGAAGTGCATCATAATGACACATTAGTGTATGGATTTGGGGTTGTTTGGGTTTTTTTTTTTGGTTTTGGGTTTTTTTGGTGGGTTGGTTGGGGTTTTTTTTGAGATATCATGGGGTTTATCTCAATAATGTGCTGGTTTATTTTTAAAGCAATTCTGAGCATGATGGCACACTTACTACTATGGGAGATCACCTTGCAGGTCATCTTTTTCATATAGGATTATATCATTCCTATTTTAAGTTTTTTTATCTAGCCAAGCCTACACATTAGAGGAAGAACTTCATTACCTAATGGTCTAGATATACTGTGCTAACTGGCTTCTCAAAATTAAATCTCTACTTCCTTCTAATGCAGACTTTTACCAGAATCAGTACTAGCTTTAACATAAATATATTCCTACCATCAGTGCTTAGAGATCATCCATTAAATCTGAATGATTCTTTCTTGTTTTTAATAGACAAATATCTAAAGGCACATACAATTACAAGGAAATAAGGGAAATATTTGTCACAGATATTTCCCATCCTTTCCTCTTGAATGTACTATGTGAACCACAGATGCTGTTCTTGTCCTATTCACACACAAATACATACATAACTACATACATACATATATACACGTATTATGCATACGTATGAGGATATATAAAAACGTATTTACACGCATGCACCTCCCCACACCTTTGCCCTGAAGAGAACACAGAGGACTGGGCCGGGCAGTGGGCGCTGCCACCCCGGAAGGCCAACCGTACCCTCGGCTGCATCAGGAGAAGCGTAGCCAGCAGGTCGAGGGAGGTGATTCTGCCCCTCTACTCTGCTCTGGTGAGACCTCACCTGCAGTACTGCGTCCAGCTCTGGAGTACTCAGCACAAGAAGGACATGGAACTGTTGGAGTGGGTCCAGAGGAGGGCCACAAAAATGATCCAGGGGCTGGAGCACCTCTCCTATGAGGACAGGCTGAGGGAGTTGGGCTTGTTCAGCCTGGAGAAAAGAAGGCTGTGGGGAGACCTGATTACGGCCTTTCAATACCTAAAGGGGGGGCCTATAGGAAAGATGGGGAAAATCTTTTTAGTAGGGCCAGCAGTGACAAGACAAGGGGTAATGGTTTTAAACTAAACCAGGGTAGGTTTAGACTGGATATAAGGAAGAAATTCTTTCCAATGAGGGTGGTGAAACACTGGAACAGGTTGCCCAGAGAGGTAGTGGAGCCCCCATCCCTGGAAGCATTCAAGGCCAGGTTGGACGGGGCTCTGAGCAACCTGATCTAGTTAGCGGTGTCCCTGCTCCTGCAGGGGGGTTGGACTAGATGACCTCTAGGGGTCCCTTCCAACCCAAAACATTCTATGATTCTATGACTCACTAGGGACACAGGCACTTGATGTTAATCAGTCTTCAAACAGCAACTGTTCTTACAAACGCAGGCTCATATCTGTGTTTGAAAAGTCTGTAAATAATACACCATTAAGTTTTAATTCTATCTTCCCCACACTGACATGTATTTTGTATTAAAATGGAAGTTATATAAGGTTGAATTGAGGTTGCTTTTTAATATTACATTAACGCTATTTACCATGTGCAGCGCTAATCCCCCTTTGAAAGAGAGTATATTAGCAATTCTGAAAGCTTATGTTACCATAGCAATAGTCTATCACTGTGAAATATTTATATAATGTCTAAGGTTTTCACTATGCAACAGCCATCTTCTAAACCACGCTTCCTACTTATCCTGTGCTTTACGTTTCCTCTCCATCCCGTGCGACAGAGCAGCGCAAAGCACCCAGCCAGTGCCTAACCACGCAACTCCGAAAAATCTCATGGTGTGCACCTGCTACATCTACATTTCCTATTCCTGCAGAGACACTAAGGTCCAAACATTTATTTTACACCTCGCACTGACACGTGTATCCAATGAGCAGTTTATACCCCATTTTACTCCCAAATACGCTATATTAGTAATAGGTAACCTAAAAGCCCTGCTGCTGGTTTACGTTTAACATGACACCAGCTTACTTTGCTTGCTCTCCTCCACTCTATTCCCCTTTTAAAACTTGGTGCTCGCATCACTTTACAAAGGCTCATTCTCTAAATAAGGGTTACCAAGTCCAACACAGTATCTCCACCCCCAAAATAAATTAGTTGCTGCATCTCCTCCTGGTGAGAGGATGCTTTCACACACACCCCCAATGCAGGGCTGCCCATCACTTACTTTAATGTGCTCGTGCAGCTGGGCCTCGTGTTGCCGGGAGAGCTGCTCATGCTGCCGCTGGAACTCGGCGATGAGGATCTGTCTCTGGATCTGCTGTTTCTGCTTGAGCGCCAGGAGCTCCTGCTGGAGCTGCTGTTCCCGCAGTGTCGGCTCCGTCACAGGCATGGAAAACTGGTGGTCCAAGCGCAGATCCATTGGGACTGAAGTCGGCGCAACTTGCAAGGGCAGTGCTGTGGTCACATCAACTACAACATCAAAATGCAAGAGGAGAGATGAGTATATTCCCCATTCACACAGGGACCTAGTTCTCATACTGTGTCCAGCAAAGACCTTGAGGAACCACGGTTTGAATCAAGAATGGCACCGTTAGACTCGCACCATTTTTTAAATGGTAAAAAAGCACTACAGGAAATCAGAGTTCAGTAACTTCTCCAGCCACCACCTCCTACAAAAATGTGTGTTTTCTAAAAGCAAAGGCCTTCAATGCATCACACGTGGCCTGACTTGATACCATTCTACATCTGTGTATTCAAAACATACACCTCTGTTCCACTCTCCTAGCATCACTTGAAATAAGGATAAAGATTAATCTAAGGCTACACAGAAAGGATCAGTTTTGACTTACGACAGATCAACTGATGGACTCCTATGGTCAAGAAGACGAGGGTCCCACTTTAAGAAACTTATGCAGAAAAACAGTACATGCTGTATCCTTTATATCCAGTTTTCAAAGGAGATTAGCCAAAAGCAAATAGGCAATGAAGCATCTGGGAAAAATTGTTAAGTGCTTTGGTGACAGGCTAGACTTCCTCACTGCAACCACAAAGGTGCAAACGTGTCTCGCAGGCAGCAATAGGAAGCAGGTGCCCAAATGGTGACTATGCAAAGACTTGCCTCTGTCGTTCAAACTCCAGGTGGGACAAACCTGAAGCACAACCAAGACTAAGGAAGAGAACAGTAATGTGTACCAAAAGATGTATACTAAGAGAAGAAAAAAGGGAAAACTATCACCTTGATTATCTGTGTAGTAAAGATCACTTCTTTGCTTTTGCAAAAAGCATCTCCCTGAAGACAAGGGGCTTGGCGTAAAAAAGCACAGCAACAGACATCTACTAAAAATACCTTTGTAATAACTGAACTCAGCTTGTTTCTGCTAAAAAAATTACTGCCATCCCATGAATGACTAAAGATTTCTAAATTCCACCTGAATGACAGTTCTGCATTTCACATGTACTCTGTACATTTGCCACATTTTATGCCTCTCTCTACAGGGCAATCACTCAATAACTCTTCTGATACCTTTGAATGAACATTATCTGCAGAATAAAAGAGGCTAACCTTTCAAAAACATTGAGTTTAAACAAAATTGGAAAATGAAGGGTTTTTTTTTTCCTTGGTTGGTTGGTTTTTTTTTTATTATTTTATCTAGTGTTTTCTTTTTTTAAGACTTTAAGATGTGTTTGTGAAAGGTTGGGAGGGAGCATCGGCAGTGCCACTGAAGCTGGATCAATCACATGTCCGCTGAGACACCTTCTTCATGTGAAAGGGTTACCCGGGGTCTGCCCAGGAGCCTGCAGGGGTCCTGCACACACCTGGGGAAGGCTATGAGATTTCACAGGGGTAGAGATGCTACCAAAACCATCAGTATAAGCCACCCCAGCAGGACAGACATCTTTCCAAAGCAAAAGCAAAGGCAGTTTTACTACGCAAAAGCTAATTTCTCCTTGCCTACAAACAAACTAGCTGGTGAAGTAAATTCCAGTTCAAAAGGAAAAAGCATGGAAAACATAGGAACTGCAAAAGGCCTAAGGAAAAGTTTTACTAAGATGGACCACTAGCTTTCACCACCTGTATGTCGCCCATGGAAACACTACTTGAAGAGGAACTTTAACTTTATACAAAATTAAACTCATTTTCACTTCAAGCTTGATCATTAAACCCTAGGTCTGATTTCAGCCACCTCCTCAAGGATGAGAGACAGGAGCGCAGAACAAGTTGACTGTGGTCTTCCAAGCAGCGCATCCTCAGAGATCACCTGAAATCAACTGTAAATTGTTAGAAATAAATGAGGACCCTGCGCTGAACACAGCACGCAGCCCTGGTCACGCAAGCCACTGCGCCATCACCCTTCTGCCCCATCCCCCGGAGAGACACACAGCGCTAGGCAGAAAATGACCACAGGCAATGTTACAAACACTATCAGGGCATTAGTATCATCAATCCCAGAGAAAGAATTTTTATAGGGCTTTCCCCAAACATTATCCATTTATTTATTTTTGCCAGTAACCTATGCATAAGAAGTTGATGGTGGTAAAATCTGAAGCAAAATGAAGCACAGAGGCACAGAAAAATAAAATTAAAAAAAAATAAATAGAGGAGTAATTCAGAAAAAAATGGGATGTTTTGTAAGGTGGCCCCATGTAAACCAAAATGCATTGCCAAGGGCAAGGCCACAATGCAGGGATGGGGAACACAGTAAAGGCAACTCCAGCCTAGATGGCAGCTCCTTGGAAAGGATGATGGTAGTGGTAGGGTTTTAAAAAGCACAGCCAGGCCAATGCTGCTGGAACTGAAGGGGTAAACAAACAACAACAAAAAAATCACATACCAAGAGAACGTAGAAATTTTGCTCAGTCTATGCAAGACCAATTTCAAGGAGAACATCATAATTTCTTCAAAAGCAGAGAAATATAGTTTAGTAGAGAAATATAGCTTACTGTAGGAAATGGGAAGCACAGCAAAAAAAAAACAACAACCAAACCATTGCTTTTATTTGAAAATAAAGATGCAAAAAACAGGGGGGTGGCCTATAGAGACAAAAGTCTGAGTTGAACCCCTTAAAGTTTCTGGAGAAGAGGGGATGTGGTTTTGTGTACCTCACAGCGGGTCATTCCTCCAGAAACCCCAGGTGCCCAGGCCCTCCTCCGAGGCTGGGGAAGCAACACACCCCACCGCGGCCGTGGCAGGCGGCTGGTGCCCTGCCCTGCCATCCCTCCCACCCAACACCCTGCCGGCAGGTCCTGCCCGCGCCCACGCTCCGTCACAAGTGACCCCCTCAAAGCAGGCTGCAGGAGCACCCCATGCACCCAGCAGCAGCATGCTTCCCGCTCCCCCATAGCCCAGCTTGTGCTGGGGAGGAGGAGACCTTTTTTTTTTTTTGGATGGAAACATTTTCTGCAAAAGGTCACATTACTGGAAGTGTTGCTATTTTTCAACCCACAAGCCCTTCCCTCCACTTCCCTATTGTTTTCCTTCCTATGGCCTTTTCCCCGCTCTCCCCCACAGGACCAGAGCTGGGATTCCTCACCGCAGGTCGCCAAGCCACAGCCAGAGATTTCAGGGAGAACACCACGCTCTCGCCTACAGATAACCATTCAAACCCGCTGAAACAACATGTTCCTAAGCCCTCCTTGGGAAGGGGCGATGCTTTCCTGTGTGGTGGGTACCACACTCAGCCCCTTCCCATTCCTGCCCACAGAGCATCCCTATGGCAACTGCTGCAAGCCCCTCGCACAGAAAAAAACCCTTCATCCGTTTTCCCCGCACGCGAGTGGGAGCTGACAGCTCGAAACCAGCCCTGCGGAGGCTATCTCATTTCACGGACTATCGCTTCAGAAACTTCTTGTCTCAGATGTGATCCTTTAAATTAGATCCAGGTTTGCCAGGATTTCAGTATTTCAGAGTGACAGAAGAATGTTTTGGATTCCTCCAGCACTGCTCAAGCTCAGGCAACCCCATAACAGCCCTGTATCTGTATGGTACCTGCCCCAGCAGCACACTGTATGGGGCAAGAGGCGCAATCCAAAACCATCATGTGTTCCAAGGACTGTGGGAAACAGGACGTGTACAAGAGTAAAGTTTCCATGCCAGCAAAAATCCCATTACTAGGTTGGATCTTTACAGAAACTGTGGAGAGAGATAATAAAAAAAATAAAAATAAAAGTCCTAATGTAAAATAGGTATTTAAGCTATTTAAGCAAACCATCTTCAAAAATATGATGCACCGTGGCTACCAAAAATGCATTTCAACCATCTGCATATTACTTCCTGAGCATTACTAATGTAATTACAGTGTGTTACGAAAGACACACAGTGATTATTCCTGGAATAGCAGCAATTTTATCAGGTGGCAAATCTAGGGGAACTCCACAGGCTGCCGCACCATTTCAACAGGGGCAGCAGCTTTCTAACACAAATTAGATCCACCTTTAAAACAAGCTGAAGCAGAATTGTACAACTCAGCTTGGTCTTACCCCACTGAATCAAACCTATAGCGATCACTCCAGCGTAAGGACGTCAACATATCTGACCATCAGCAATGCAAGGGATCCACATGGCAATGATGTCCAGGCAAGTGCTGGATACAGACACGTGCATAGCATTACTTGGAGCTCTCCTATTACTGTCCCCCTCCCCAAATTTACAGACAAATACCCCAGAGCTCCAAAACTCCCCAAAGATAATCTTGAGTATGATTTAATGCCACTTTTAGCCCCCAAGGCTCCAGGAGAGCTCGAAACAGTTAATCCTAGAGGATCAAACCCAGTGAGTCAGTAAACCAAACAGTGCAGCGGGCTCCGTGAATCACAAGCCTTTTAAACGCATTGACTATTTTTATGTCCGGCCGAAGACTTCTGAGCACCTGGCAATAACATCTCCTACCTTCTACCCATGTGGCCTAAAGGTCAGCATTACTAATACAGAGGTAGCAGTCACTCGCTCCCGCTTACCCGGTCTCCACATAAATCTGTTTATCTTCAATACAGCTCACTGAATTCGTCAACACTATTTAGGCTACACACAATTTTCCTTGAAATTCATGTCTGTTTTCCTACATGCACCTTTTATGATCCAAACACTGTGTTTCCTAAAAGCAGAAAATAAGAGCTTTCAACATGTTAAAAGAAATTCAATTTCAGCCAGAAGGAACACACTACGACTTGTGATCACTGCTACTTTTGGTTGTGTCTTGGGATAAATGACTCCTGCTTTACTCCCTAAATAAGGCCCTTAACTTGCACCGTGCTGGATAATGGTCCCGAGAAAACTTGACAAACCTCCCATTTCCCATCCAAAGGGACTCATCCCCCCCGAAATGCCCAATGTGCAGGCACGGGGCGCCAGCTGCAGAGTTCATGACCACAATTCCCATTCAGAGCCTCGGCGGAGGCTGCGTCATCCCCGACTCTTACTATTTCAGTCTCAAAAAAAACCCCCCTATTTGAAATGCCATGAGTTCCCCACA